CTAGAGGCTCCGAGGGTGGAAAAAAAAGAAAAAAGATGGGTCCCCAGATGGCTAAAAACGAGGCAGTAGCAGTTGCTTGCGCGCCCAGGTCTGGTCCACCCGCGGCCCCCCAAAAATCGCGCACCAAAGGTCACTCTTACCCAGGGTCACTCCTACGTGTAGCCGAGTCCGAGTGGGGCCATGCCCCGAAGAATGCACCGTGGGAAGCCGACCTCAGCTCCCACAACACAGATTTCGGATGTCAGCGTTTTGCAAGTCTGGCGAATGTGCGTAGCTCTAGGCGCCCTGACAGCGAGGCCATTGTTAGCTGCCGCAGGGGGCCCCGCTAATTAGCGTGGTCTAGGTGGTCTAAAGTTCCTCATGTGGGGGTAGGGGGTCGGTTTTCATGCGTTCACAGAAGGAAAACTGCCAGAAACATTATCTTTTGGCGCTCCGCTCGGACTTCTTGGATCCGCGCTGGCGTCCCCCTGGCGGCGCCTCCGGCGCCGCCCCTGGCGCGCTCCGCGCGCCAGGGAGGGGCGTCCGGCTCAGATCCAAGAGATCCGCCCGGAGCGCCAAAAGTTTATGTTTATGGCGTTTTTTTCTCGTCCTATTACCAGGTGGGAATCGGAGGACCGTATCGAATCGCGGATGCATCGGCGATGAGCCCTGGCTTGTCTGTTGACCCGCCAAGCAATGTTTCAAGACATGTTCTCAGAGCAGTTCTGGCCGAGACCGTCTTGTTTTGACACATCGGTGTCATCTTCTAATAATATTGTCTTGTTTCGGAGGCGAGCGAGGGGGGGAAACGAGAAGGAGAAGGCCTTCTCAGAATGCGGCGAGACGTCTCAGAAGGCCTCCAGCCTTCTGAGATTGTTTTTCCCGGAAAGGGCTTTGGCCCAGGGTTCTCTTTTAGTAGGTAAACCTGTCCCCCGGTGCCAACTTGAGGGAGGCCGGCGAATTTTTTCCCTGATAAATAACGAGGTCGAAGGAGGCCGGCGAATTAAAATTTGAGGATGTCTCGAGCGAAACGCTTGTTTTTGAAATCCCGATCGATAAATCACAGGGTGCGGGCCACTTTTTCGTGTGTTGAGGATGTCTCGAGCGAATCGCTTGCTCCGCAGAGTTTGCCGAGGATGTCTCGAGCGAAACGCTTGTTTTGCAGAGCCGACCGCGACGCGGAAAAGCGCCCCGCGCGAAGGAATTTCGATGATGTCTCGACTATTTCGTTTGTTTTTGTACGATTTCCTGGAATTTTGGCAGGATGTCTCGAGCGAAATGCACGACCCCACCCTAGCACGACCATACCAGCACGACCACACCCCAGCACGACCAGACCCCAGCACGACCCCACCCCAGCCACAGGTGGGGGGACCCCACCCACCACCCAGCAGACCCGACCACGCCCCAGCACGACCACGCCCCAGCACGACCCTACCACAGCAAGACCACACCCCAGCACGACCACACCCCAGCACGACCTCACCACAGCACGACCACACCCCAGCACGACCACGCCCCAGCACGACCACGCCCCAGCACGACCACGCCCCAGCACGACCACCCCCCAGCACGACCACCCCCCCAGCACGACCACCCCCCTGCACGACCACCCCCCAGCACGACCACACCCCAGCACGACCACTCCCCAGCACGACCACACCCCAGCACGACCACACCCCAGCACGACCACACCCCAGCACGACCACATCCCAGCACGACCACACCCCAGCACGACCCGATCGATAAATCACAGGGTGCGGAGCACCCCAGCACGAACCCACCCCAGCACGACCCCACCCCAGCACGACCCCACCCCAGCACGACCACGCCCCAGCACGACCACGCCCCAGCACGACCACGCCCCAGCACGACCACCCCCCAGCACGACCACCCCCCCAGCACGACCACCCCCCAGCACGACCACCACCCAGCACGACCACACCCCAGCACGACCACTCCCCAGCACGACCACACCCCAGCACGACCACACCCCAGCACGACCACACCACAGCACGACCCCCACCCACAGCACGACCACGCCCCAGCACGTCCCTACGCCCCACACGACCACGCCCAGCACTACCCGTCTGCTACAGCTCGTCCATCGCCCCCAGCACGACCTCCCCCCAGGCACGACCACCCCCCAGCACGTCCCACCCCCAGCTACGACCACCCCCAGCACGACCCACCCAAGCACCGACCACTCCCCAGCACGACCCACACCGCCTGGTTGAGTGGTTGCCTGTTCGTCGGGTGTTTGTTTGCTGGGGTGTCTCCGTGGAATTGTTTTCGCGGGGTGTCTCGTGAAATGTTGTCGTGTGGTGTATCGTGTGAATGTTTCGTGAGGTGTCTCGTGGGCTGTTTCGTGATGGTGTCTTTGGTGTTTCGTGAGGTGTTGCCCAGTTGGGTATCATGAAAACGTGTCCATGCTCCACATGTCTATATCCCTTTCCGGGTTCGTGGGTCCATCATGTTCTGTTCTCGGGGAAGGCTTGGAAAACTTCTCAGAAGTCCCGGGAACTTTCGAGCCTTCTGAGAAGGCCTTCTCCTTCTCACTTCCCCCCTGGGCGCGCCGCTTATTGTTCTCAGAGCACTACTCTGCCTAACAGCGTTTCGTGGTATGCCTATGGGAATGCTTGCACGGTCGGTCCCTGCTCAAGTCTCGGCGACGAGGCGCAATCTGGCCCCACCTGGGCGGCACAGTCGCTACCGGCCCCTGGGCCCCGGGACTGGTCTGGCCAGGACCGCCGCTCAGATACCGAGCGGCCGCAGAGCCGGTGCGCAGTCGTGTGCGATCCAGAAGTGTCCGATGCTGGTGTCTGCTTGGACGAGAGCGCTGGCCGAGACCGGCTCATGAACGCTGTTGTGCTCGAGAGATGAGCTCCGCCCGCGAGTGGCCCAGCCAGGACCAGCGCAGGGGCCCCTCGGCCCCTGCCAGGGGCCAGCGGGCGCGGGGCCCTCGCTCCTGCCCCATTCCTCGCCCTCCTCCTTCGTCCTCCTTCCCCCCCCTCCTTCGTCCTCCCTCCCCACGCCTCCCCCTCCTTCGTCCTTCCCCCCTCTCCTCCCCCTCCTCCCCCTCTGACGCTTCGTGGCAGCCAGCCTGGTTCATCCCTCGAGCAATCGAAAAATCCCCTCCTTCGTCCTCCCTCCTCTCCCTCCTTCCGTCCCCTCCCTTCTCCGTCCTCCTCCCTCGCCCTCCTCTCGTCCCCCTCCCTTCCTCCGAGTCGTGGGGGGCTGGCCGCTCCGAGGCCGAGGCGCCGCCGTGCACTTTGGGACTCGGAGGAGGGACAGGGACCGGGGTCGCTTGCCTCGCTGTCGCACCGTTTGGCCTCCCGGGAGCCCCCCCGTCGCCACGGCCGGATGCGCCTCGAGGTGTTCTGGTCGGAGCGGGCCCCGGGAGAGAGGCCCGGGGAGCAGCGGCATCGGTGCTGTTGAGGTCTGCCCACGCGCGGTAGCGCCAGCGGCATGCGGCGCGAGAGTCCGTGGCCCAGGAAGGAGAACGCCAGGACCGCGTTAGTCTCCGATTTTGGAACGGTTCCGGGGGGCCCGAGCAGCGGGCGACGAAATCAGTACACATCCATTGCCCTGGCCAGACCTGTGCTGCGCCCAGGAGGGGTGTACATGTCACCGTGGCCGAGCTAGGAGGGCGCACAGTGAAGGCCCATGCCAAGAAGCACCCTGTTTGCCTTCAGGGTGCCCTGGGCTTCTGGGGTTTCGATGCTTTTGCTGTGGAAGGCGCGACGTTCCCACACCAGGCATGACTGGACGCCCTGGGGTCTCAGGGTTGGAAGGCCTCTTGTGGACTGGCCTCCGCTGTATACCCCGCTCCTGGGCTAAGGATGCGCCTTACCAGGGGCAGCGGGCATGTGCAGATCCCGTCGCACGAGAACGTGGCCCCCGAGCGCCGAGAATGACGGAGAGCCTCACAGAGCACTTCCCGCCCTGAATTCCTGTCGAGGCGGCGGCGGAGGTCTGGGGCCCCCGGATGCTCGAGGAGCACCCGCCGCCCTCGTCATCCTTCTCCTCCTCTTCCTCCTCCTCCTCCTCCTCCTCCTCCTCCTCTCCCTCTTCTTCTTCTTCTTGTTCTTATTCTTCTTGTTCTTCTTCTTCTTCTGCTTCTTCTTCATCCTTCTCCTCCTCTCCCAGGCGCTGGACAGCGCGGGCGCCGGCGCGCTCTCTCGTCGTGGGCCTGAACTCCCTGCGCAGCAAGGGGATGCGCGAGGATATATTGCGACGGCGCAGGCCGTGGGCCGAACAGGCGATCGCACGTCTTTAGTCGCCGACGGCCGACGACACGCAGTCAAGAAGCAGAAGAGGACGCCAGTGGCCGCAGGGGGGGCACGCCGCCGCCCTCAACGCACGACGACGCGGACAGCCAGAGGACAGGCTCAACGCCTCCGCGAGCCGCATAATCAGCCTCCTTCACGCGGCCGCATTCCTGAGACTACATCCTCGGCTCCTCCTCGTCCCTCTTCCTCGTCATCCTTCCCCTCCTTCTACATTCTTCGGCACTCCCGTGGTGGGTTGCTTGCACGAGGGGTGGGGGGGGGGGCGCACTTTACCTGTTCAGGCTGATCGCCTCGTCGCCAGCCACGGCGCTCGCACGATTCAGCCGCGCCTCGATCAAATCCCTCCTCCTCCTCCTGCTCCTTCTCCTTCTTCTTTTACTCCTCTCTCCTCACCCTCCTCCTCCTCCACCTCCTCCTCCTCCTCCTCCTCCTCCTCCTCCTCCTCCTCCTCAGTCGGCATTTTGGCTCACGCCGCGCCTCGCTGGGCCCGCCCGCGGCGCCGCTGATGCCTCCGACGGCGGACGACCGCCGCGGCGCCCTGGAGGCGGCGCGCGGCGCTCTCCTGGCGGCCCATGCCGCCAGCGGCCTCGCGGCATGCGCGTCCCGCTCGGGCGCGCGGCTGCTACGCGCGGCCCAGGGCCTGCTGCGCGCCACGGTCGCCGAGCTGGCGGCCTCGCAAGCACACCCTCCCCCCGCTGGCGCTGAGGCGCCTGCCGCGCCTCCTCGGAGGCGGCGCAGGCCTCGCGGCCGCAGTGGACGGCTTAGCGCTGATGCGGGCGACGCCAACGGCGGCGACGGCGGCGACGCGGCTACCCGCACGCTGCGAGGGGCGGGCCCCAGGCGCGGCTACCCGCACGCCGCAGGGCGGGCCCCTGCGGGGTGCGGCGGTTGGCGGCGACGGCGCAGGAGGCGCGGGCTCCGGCATTGACGTGGACCTGCTGGCTGGCGGCCTCCCCCTGCGCGACTCGGCGCCCGCGGCGCCTGTGCGCGCGTCGGCCGACGCTCCTCCGGTGCGGCAGCGGGCGGTGTCTGCGGAGCCAGCTTGCGGAGCTGTCGCCGCCATACCTTCGTCTGCCTCCGATCTCGACGTTCGCTGACGAGCTCCGCGTCAAGGCCCCCTCGGGGCCTGCTGCTGTTGCTGCCGCGGGCGTGGTGGCGTCGGTGGGCGGGGTGATCGCGGCCTCGGCGGTCAAGATCGGGCCGCACGGCGACCTCTGGGAGCTCGACGTGCGCGAGCGAGCACGGCGCTTGCTCGAAGGGGGGGAGGCAAGCTCAGCGGCGACGGACGACCTCATTGAGAGCTGTCGGCGGCGGCAGGCGGCGTCGAGTGGTCCTCCGACGTCCTTGGCTGGGTAGGCCCGTTCTCCTTCCTGGCGGAGGTACCCTCTTCGGGGTTGTCCTTCACGATCCACGGGGTGCACTGCACGGTCGGGGGGGTCCAGTTCTGGTTAGGTCCAGCGCTGGCCCCCCGCTGACGCTTGTGATGCAGCGAGCCTGGGTGGTGGCGCTGGTCTCCCAGGTATGCGTCTTGGCAGGTTGATGTTAGAACGAATCCTCCTCCTCCTGCTGCCCCTCCTCCTCCTGTTCCTCCTGTTCCTCCTCCTCCTCCTCCTCCTCATCCTGCTCCTTTTCCTCCTCCTCGTCCTCTTCCTCCTCCTCCCCCTCCTCCTCCTCCTCCTCCTCCTCATCATCATCATCATCATCACCATCATCATCCCAGTCCTCCTCCTCCTCCTCCTCCTCGTCCCCCTCCTGCATGGACCTCCGCCGAGGGCGTGGACAATCGCGACGACGTCGGACGAGGACGGGCGATGGATGTCCGACGACGGACGTCCAACGACGGAGAGGCACGACGACGACGACGACGCCGACGACGACGACGACGACGACGACGACCGCGACGACGACGACGACTTCGATGACGACCAGGACGACCAATGACGACGACGACGACGGACGACGGGCGACGGACTGACGGACCGCCAGGCGACGACTTCGATGCCGTTGTGGTCGTGGTCGTCGTCGTCGTCCGCGTCGTCGTCGTCGTCGCCCGCGTCGTCGTCATCGTCGTCGTCGTCCGTCGGCTGTCGTCCGTCGTCGTCGTCGTCGTCGTCGTCGTCGTCGTCGTCGTCGTCGTCGTCGTCGTCGTCGTCTTTTCCCGGAAAGGGCGTGGGCCCAGGGTTCTCTTTTCCTATGTAAACATGTCCCCGGTGCCCAACTTGAAGGAGGCCGGCGGATTCTTTCCCTGATAAATATCGATGTCGAAGGAGGCCGGCGGATTAAAATTTGAGGATGTCTCAGGCGAAACGCTTGTTTTTGAAATCCCGATCGATAAATCACAGGGTGCGGGACACCTCAGCACGACCACACCCCCAGCATGACCACACCCCAGCACGACCACGCCCAGCACGACCACGCCCCAGCACGACCACACCCCAGCACGACCACACCCCAGCACGACCACACCCCAGCACGACCACACCCCAGCACGACCACACCCCAGCACCAGCACGACCACACCCCAGCACGACCCGATCGATAAATCACAGGGTGCGGACCACCCCAGCACGACCACACCCCAGCACGACCCCACCCCAGCACGACCCCACCCCAGCACGACCACGCCCCAGCACGACCACACCCCAGCACGACCACACCCCAGCACGACCACTCCCCAGCACGACCCCACCCCAGCACGACCCCACCCTAGCACGACCACACCCCAGAACGATCACACCCCAGAACGACCACACCCCAGCACGACCCCACCCAAGCACGACCCCACCCCAGCACGACCACACCCCAGCACGACCACACCCCAGCAGGACCCCACCCCAGCACGACCCCACCCCAGCAAGACCACACCCCAGCACGACCACACCCCAGCACGACCTCACCACAGCACGACCACACCCCAGCACGACCACGCCCCAGCACGACCACGCCCCAGCACGACCACGCCCCAGCACAACCACCCCCCAGCACGACCACCCCCCCAGCACGACCACCCCCCAGCACGACCACCCCCCAGCACGACCACACCCCAGCACGACCACTCCCCAGCACGTCCACACCGCCTTGGTTGAGTGGTTGCCTGTCGTCGTGGAATGTTTCGTGGGGTGTCTCGTGGAATGTTTCGCGGGGTGTCTCGTGGAATGTTTCGTGAGGTGTCTCGTGGAATGTTTCGTGAGGTGTCTCGTGGGATGTTTCGTGAAGTGTCTCGTGGGATGTTTCGTGAGGTGTTGCCCAGTTGGGTATCGTGAAAGCGTGTCCATGCTCCACATGTCTATATCCCTTTCCGGGTTCGTGGGTCCATCATGTTTCGTCGTCGGCATCGTCGGCGTCGGCGTCTGCGTGGGGCCTAGGAGCGCCCCGAGACCGTCGTGGAGGCCGGCGCGAGGTACGCCGGGCAGTGGCGCGGCGCGCAGTGCCACGGCCACGGCGTTCTCAAGAGGCTGGGGGGCCGACGGCGGGTGTCGTCGCAGGGTGGCGGCTGCGACATCGCACGACGACGTCGCACGACGGTGTCGACGGCTCTGTTCTGAAGGCTTGGGGTCGCTTCCGGAGGCTTTCTGTCGCTGCGGCCAGACGCAGTCCGAAAGACTGGTTGGGAGGGGCCCCATGGGTCGAATCGAAGAGAGGGAAACGGCATAAACATAATTTTGTCGGAATTCTGCGCGGCTTTCTTGGAGCGGCGCTGGATCCCCCTGGCACGCTCCGCGCGCCAGGGAGCGGGGCCCAGCGTCGACGCCAGAAATCCGCGCGGAGCTCCGAAAGTTTACATTAATGTCGCTCGTCGAGTGACCCGGTCAATTCCCTGCGGGCGGATTCCTGGCCCCCCCGCCGCGTGAGCTGGCCCGGCCGCACAGTTGCCCTCGTTCGACTGCCCGCGCCGTGCCGCCGCGCGCGTGGCCGCCACGCCAAAGATTCTGTTTATGCAGCTTGTCCTCCTTCGCGTGAGGGGTCCGCGAGAATGTCGTCGACTGGCCTTTCAGGGGTCTGTTCTCTTGCCTCCCCCCCCGCCCGATCTGGGGGCGCCCTCGTCGGCGCGCCGGGGGCCTCCCTGCCATGCTGGCCTCGACGCGCCCCGGTGGGGGGTGGTTCGAGGAGGAGGAGGAGGAGGAGGAGGAGGAGGAGGAGGAGGAGGAGGAGGAGGAGGAGGAGGAGGAGGAGGAGGAGGAGGAGGAGTCGAGGGAGAGGAGGAGCAGTCGACGACGGTCGTTTTTTGATTGGAGGAGTCGATGCCCTGCAATCCGTAAGGGCTTCGCCCCCTGCCGCTGGCCCCCTCTCTCGGAGAATGGGCCATGGAAGAGCTAAATCATGAGGCCTTGGCGCTGTCGTGAAGCAGTATCGAAACTTCATGCGAAGCCGATTCGCAATCAGCAAAACCAACTGATCACAAGAGGAGTTACCACACCTGGCGGTTGGTAAGACGTGTATGGTTTACGGGCTTCCCCTGTGTTTTTGGACCCTGACCCCGCGGATCTGCGTGAGGGGTGGCACCGAATTTCAGAAATGTTGCAAATCCCCTGTGTTTTTGGACCCTGACCCCGCGGATCTGCGTGAGGGGTGGCACCGAATTTCAGAAATGTGGCAAATCCCTGTGTTTTTGGACCCTGACCCCGCGGATCTGCGTGAGGGGTGGCACCGAATTTCAGAAATGTGGCAAATTCCATGTGTTTTTGGACCCTGACCCCGCGGATCTGCGTGAGGGGTGGCACCGAATTTCAGAAATGTGGCAAATCCCCTGTGTCTTTGGACCCTGACCCCGCGGATCTGGTAAGGGGTGTCGATTTCGAGCCCCCCCAGCAAGTCAGACAACGCGCCCAGGAGACGCTAAAAATCTGGTTTGGGCCTCCCCCCCCCTCGCGCGGTCAATCAACTAGTTACAGTAACCAGCAAGAAGCAGAACTGTAACACTGGAAACTACAAGCTACAACTGGTACAGGAAACTGCGAACCTCGCGCCTACAGCCCGGTGGCCCCACAAGGGGGCCGGCGGACTTGTTGCGAGGAGGAAGTGTCGACGACAGCGTCGGCGGGGGCGGCGGCACCATCGGGAGTTAAGCGGCGGTTGCGGCCACGACAGTGCGGGCGATGTCTGCGACGACGATGGCGAACACGACACGACGTCGACGACGACGTCGACGGCGGACGCGACCACGGGCGAGGGCGGTGACGACCATTACGCCGCCGCCGCCATCGTCGTCGTCGTCGTCGTCGTCGTCGTCGTCGGCTGCGGCGGCGGCGGCAGCGGCGGCGTCGTGGACGTCGTCGGCGTCGGTGTCGGCGTCGGTGTCGGCGTCGTCGGCGTCGGCGTCGGCGTCCGTCGCCGTCGTCGACGGCGCGTGGTGACGAGTGCGATCAGGTCTTCGAGAGACTGGCCGCTCCAGTTTCGAGAAGGGCTCGGCGGCCCTTGGAGTCCCTCGCCCTTCCTGAGCGCTGCCCAGGCCCGAAAGGGGCCTCGCTCCTCGTCCGAGGCCGCCCACGGCGAACCTTTCGGACCGCACACCCGGGCATTAAGTCGGACACGTCCCTCTACAGGAGGAGTATCTCAAATTAGTAAACATATAGTCAGATGAGTATTTTTTATACTATTCTTGACCATCTTTGAGTATTTGTGACAATGCTTCTATTTGTCTTCCAGAGTCCGCCTGTAGGGGGACCTGCCCGACCTAACCCAGGCCTCCTCCGATCTCCTTTTTTTCAATTCGCGGCCCCAGAGCTCCC